GATACCACAAAGACTGTGAAACTTCAAACCACAGAGTGGGGGAAGATACTTGCAACACATATAATTGACACCAGATTCATATTCACAATTTGTAAAGATCTCCAACAAACCAAAAGACTTTACAAGAAAGGAAATCTATGGCCAATAAACATGAAAAGCTGTAGTACCTCATTAATAATAAAGGAAATGAAAATTAAAATCACAATGAAATGCTACTGTGTGAAAATCTTTAAAACATAATAAACATATTAAGACATCTCACAATGACAAGTATTGGCAAGGATGTGAAGCCACAAGAACTCTTTCACACTGCTGGTAGATGTGTAAATTGGTACAACCACTTTGGAAAACAGTTTGTCATTCTCTTGTGAAGTTGAAGATCCATGTATCTTATTACACGGCATTTTCACTCCTAGATATTTATCTAGATTGATATGTAATTGAAATGTTCATCCGTAGTAGAATAAGCAAATAAATTGTGGCATGTTCATATAGAAGAGAACTATGAAGGGCGCCTGGGTGGCTCAGTTGGTTAAGTGACTGCCTTTGGCTCAGGTCATGGTCCCAGGGTCCTGGGATTGAGTCCCACATTGGGCTCCCCCTGCTCTCCGGGGAGCCTGCTTCTCCTTCTCCCTCTGCCTGCCACTCCCCCTGCTTGTGCTCTCTCTCTGTCAAATAAATAAAATCTTAAAAAAAAAAACTATGAAGACAGTGAAAATGAAGGAACTACTGCAGGATACAACTTACATGAAAATAGAAGGGAACTGATTCTCCCCTAAAATCTCCAGAAGGAATGTAGCCCTGCCAACACACCTTGATTTTACCCAGTGAGACTTATTTCTGACCTCTGACCTCCAGAAATGTAAAATAATGAAATTGTGTTGTTTTAAGCCACTGAATTTGTGGTAATTTGTTACAGCAACAAGAGGTAGCTAATACTAAAAATTATAAAGTGTTAAAACTATCAAGGAAATGATTATCACTAAAATCAGTAGATTGGTTTCTCTTTTGGTGGGAAGAGGGTATGATCAGGAAGAGCTACACTGGACTTCTAGGGTACTGGCAATATTTTATTTATTTGAATGCGTATATGTTTGTTTTTTTTTAAGATTTTTATTAGAATGAGAGAGAGAGAGAGCATGAGAGGGGGGAAGGTCAGAGGGAGAAGCAGACTTCCCGCTGAGCAGGGAGCCCGATGTGGGACTCGATCCCGGGACTCGAGGATCATGACCTGAGCTGAAGGCAGTCGCTTAACCAACTGAGCCACCCAGGCGCGTATATGTTTTATGTAGTCTTCTGCACATACGAAGTTAGCGTCATTGCTTTTATAACCAGAAAAAGAGTTTTAAGAATAATACATACCCATAATTTTTTAAACTGAAGGTTATTTCTTAAAGGCTTTTTAAATTTTTATTTATTTATTTATTTGAGAGAGAGAGAGCGCGTGAACACACAAGTAGAGCTAGGGCAGAGGGGGAAACTCTTCAAGCAAACTCCCCACTGAGCCTGGGCCCATGAGATCACGACTTGAACCGAAACCAAGAGCCAGACACTTAACCAAGTGAGCCACCCAGGTGCCCCTAAAGGCTTTTTAAAATCACATTTCTTTGACTACGAAATTATTTCTTCCTTGAGGGAGTATGACAAAAAATATTTTTTATAAACCATTAGTACTTTGCAGTACTTTCTGTAATATGATCAATGGCCTAAATGACTCTTTTATGAATTTATAGCATGTAAAAAAATTACTCAGTTAACATAAGGAAGAAGCTACTTGTCTTCCCAGATTGAAATAAAAATACAACTTAAGTGAAAGAACTTATAAGAACCCTTAAAACTGGTTTCAAAAATAGATTATGCCTTAAATTTGCTAAGTATTAAAAAATTAAGGAGTACCCATTTATTGAAATGCATCTAAGCCTAGTGTGTATCTTGCTGTTATTTTTTTTCCCTGTTTAATATGGGGATTAAAAAAAATGATGGAAGCTATTTCATTTTTCTGGATTTTAAGTAATTTAAAATTTATTTATTTGTGTGAGAGAGAGCACATGAGTGGGGAGTGGGAGGGGGGTAGAAGCCGACTCAGCAGACCCCCCCACCCCATCCCCACCCCCGCTACCGCTGAGCTCAATCCCAGGACCTGACCTGAGCCAAAGGCAGATGCTTAACAGACTGAGTTTAAATCCTGTTTGTTTAAGAGATTAAGCATAATCCCTGCCTAAATTTAATTTGTTGCCTGGAGCTTTCATTTTGGAGGGTTACATTTAAATAAGGAGCAGTTTGCAATGAATTTAATTTCTTCCATTTCTTCAACTTTTTTTTAAGTTTATGTATTTATTTACATAATCTCTACACCCAATGTGGGGCTAAAATTCATGACCCAGAGATCAAGAGTCACATGCTCCTCCGACTGAGCCAGACAGACGCCCCTCATTTCTTCAACTTTTAAAATTATACTGGTAAAATTTAAATAGGAATTGATTAAAATAATTCTTGTTGCATTTAGTATGAAAGAAATTGTTTCTAGTGTGATTCTATAGGAAATTTTTAATCTTAAGTACTTGATGGTCTCTGTTAACCAGGGCTTTAACTTTTTCCTAATGAATACAATATGGGGAGGCATTTTGGCAAGATGGTGATCTGTTTCCCAACTTCAGTTACTAAGTACCACTTCAGAGTGAAATCAACTCTGAGACTTGCAGGCTGGAGGGCCTAGAGGGAATATGTGAGGTTGGGAAGTATACTGTGATCCAAATGAAAACAAGAGGCAAAATCCTATGGGGCAATTATCAAAATTTTTAAGTTCTCAGAAAGAACTGTGCCCCTGAGTGGAAGCTTACTTCCAGTGCACTGTAGAGATTGCTTCTGCTGTTTTGGTGTTAACTGCCTTTCAAGGGACTCAACCTTGGAGGATGAGGCAAGCCATGAATTGGCAAAGGAAAATAATTCATTTAAAGGAACACCAGCAGACAGAGACAGATAACAAGGATTGCATCTACAAGTGATTTCAGTGAAATAGAACAGAAATAGAAACTGGAAGAGAGAGATGACAGATTTAACAGGCAAAACAAAATAAATTATCTCAGATTTTTAAGAGAAATAAAGAGACATGCTTCTAATCATGGTGTAAAAGAAAACAAAAAGCAGGGAGCTTTTTTATATATTAATTTGTGGAAAGGGTGATTATTGTTGAGACTCAAATTCCTGGTCTGGAACATTAAATAGAAGAGTATACCAAAATGGGGCAGTGGGAGAGGGGGGAGATATATATATATATATCTCCATCGATAGATATATCCATATATATATGGAAGGAGAAAGAGCAAATGGAGGAGATACAACAACTAAAGATAGAATAGGCAAGCATTTCTCTGGTTTAGAGAAAGATTGAAAGAGCCTGTTGAGTTCAAGCCAGAGTGTTGAGGATGGTGGGGAGACAAAAAAACATGCTGTTTACAAAGGAAAAATCACGTGCCAGACTACTCAATTTGACACTGGAAGCTAGACGGTAGTAAAATGACATCTACAGGTTCCTAAGAAAGGACCTGTGCCTATACCTAGTCAACTGTTATTCACATGTTATGGTGAAAACAAGATACTTGTGGATATGCAGTAATACAGGTCCTCCACTTGGAAAAGTTCTCAGGAAATGATTCTCACCAAATAATTACCAACAGAGACTTTAAGATAGGGCATAAGAAGAGGGAAAACAGTGGTAAGCAAATGAATCTCACAGTATATTTAACTAGATCTAAATGGATAATGCTGGAGTGACTTTATTTCAGCACATTCCCTGGTCTTCTGCATTTCCTGAAAGTTTGCAAAAGCTTCATTAGACACAGGTTCTGTTCCTCTGGCAAGATTATAAGTGATGTTCTGTTCTTCCAGAGGGAGGCCTACAGTTTCTGATTGTCTGTTGTAAAGATAGCTGTTAATACTCAATTCTAGATCCATTAATTCATTGAGGGTTGCAAAATGGTGACATTCTATCATTTTTCATTTATAGCTAGAACACTTATACAGAGACGCTTCTTTTCATCTGTTTGGTTATTCAGTGATACAGTTCATATAGGAAAGGCAAGTTAAATGTTTTCCCCTTAACTTTTATCAGTTTACAAGATAATGAATTGGTTCTCTATCATCTTTTGGGGGGGGAGGGGGAGATGTCATTATAAACTAGTATAATTCAATATATGTGATACATATGAGTCCTTTGCAATTATCTTTATTGAAGCTAAGATTGTCTCATCTTTGGCCAGCGGGAGCAAAAATGGTTCCTGACTCCTTTTGACATGACCCTGATAATCTTTATCCATAAAGAAAGGGGCAGTATAATGGGGCGCCTAGGTGGCTTAGTCATTTAAGCATCTGCCTTCGGCTCAGGTCATGATCCCGGCGTCCCGGGATCGAGCCCCGTGTCGAGCACCCAGCTCAGCGGGGAGTCTGCCTCTCCTTCTTCCTCTGACCCTCTCACCTGCTCATGCTCTTGCTTGTTCTCTGTTTCTCTCAAATGAATAAATAAAAAATCTTGAAAAAAAAAAAAAAGAAAGGGGCAGGTTTTTGTTGTTGGGTTGTTTTTTTCTGTCGTTTTTTAGTTTTGCTTTGCTTTTTTAAAAACCTCAGAATGTTGTCTGTGCTTTTGGGAAGGTGGATTTTAGGATCCATTTGTTTCCTAGGATATTTGATACTTAGTATGATCTTTGGTGTAATTGTAGGGAGATATGCCTTAAATTTTGTGTTACTTGCAAAAAATACTGGTTTTATTTTTTAAGTATATGTGAAGACTCAGAATCAGTATTTCCCAGCAAAAAGATGGAGAGGTGTATGTTAAAATGGTTTTTTCAACTGATTAATAAATATTTGAATGTTTACTCTGGACCATTCTTCACGATGGGAACTCTTGGGAATTCAGACAATAATGAAACCTGCTTATTTACCTAACATTTCAATAAAATAAGTTCTAAGGATTGATCTTAAACTTAATTTATTTTTTCTTTCAGATCTGTCACGAAATCGTCTCTCAGAAATTCCCATAGAAGCATGTCATTTTGTTTCTCTTGAGAATCTCAACTTATATCAAAATTGTATTCGGTATATACCAGAGGCAATTCTAAACCTACAGGCTCTGACATTCTTAAATATTAGGTAAGGATGTTGTTTTTTTTTTCTTTTCTAATTTTTAGTTTTATGTGGTATTTTCAGTTCTCTCTTCCCTTTCACTAAAACTTACATTATCTGTTCATATCTGCAGTATCTATACATGTTCTTAGGCTGAATTTTAGTGTATGTGCTGCCGAAGCGAGCACTAGGCTGAATTAACAATATTTCCTATGTCCTTCTAGTTTCTCCCTTTGTCTTTAGCTTTGCAATAATTAACAAACTGTAAGGGTCATGAGCCTGATAGGCTTGCAGTAGTCTTGTAGCTATGATTCTCCAGTTACATTTTCAAATAAGTTTTATCAGATGAGAATAGATCTGAAAGTACTTTCACTCTTGTGATTTTGTATTTTTGTGTACTAAGTTCTGAATGTGTAAATGCATTTATTTAACTCCTTTCTATTTTTTCATATCTTGGAAGACTTCTTTTGCTGTTTTTTTTTCATTATAAAAGTTATAAATGTTCATTGGAGAAAATGAGCAAATGTAGAAAAGTATAAAGAAAATTCATCAAAATGTTGTATCTGAGTTATAATTATAGGTGATGTTTTCCTTTTTCTCCAGGCTTTCAATCAAATTTTTAAATGAGTTTTTTCCCCTTGGCATGAAATACTCTTTGGAAATATTTTTATATGTAACATTTTATTGTACCATTTATATACTTCTAAAACTCGTTTTCCCTGTCAAATGTTTACTATATTTGTTTTTTGCCATGATAAAAATAATACTGGCAGAATTTGCAACGACGTGGATGGAACTGGAGGGTGTTATGCTGAGTGAAATAAGTCAGTCAGAGAAAGACATGTATCATATGACCTCACTGATATGAGGAATTCTTAATCTCAGGAAACAAACTGAGGGTTGCTGGAGTGGTGGGGTGGGAGGGATTGGGTGGCTGGGTGATAGACATCGGGGAGGGTATGTGCTATGGTGAGCACTGTGAATTGTACAAGACCGATGAATCACGGATCTGTACTTCTGAAACAAATAATGCAATATATGTTAAGAAAAAAAAAAAAGAAGAAGAAGAAGATAGCAGGAGGGGTAGAATGAAGGGGAGTAAGTCAGAGGGGGAGATGAACCATTAGAGACGATGGACTCTGAAAAACAAACTGAGGGTTCTAGAGGGGAGGGGGGTGGGGGGATGGGTTAGCCTGGTGATGGGTATTAAAGAGGGCACATTCTGCGTGGAGCACTGGGTGTTATGCACAAACAATGAATCATGGAACACTGCATCAAAAACTAATGATGTAATGTATGGTGGTTAACATAACAATAAAAAATTATTAAAAAAAAATAATACTGGCAGAGACTCTTGTATGTAAATGTTTATTTTTGTCTTTCCTTAAGGTAAATGTCTAGGAATAGAATTTTTTTTTTTAAGATTTTATTTATTTGAGAGAGAGATAGCGACAGAGATAGAGCATAAGCGGGGAGGAGAGCTCGAAGAAGCAGTCTCCCTGCCTGGCAGGGAGCCCGATGCGGGGCTTGATCCCAGGATCCTGAGATCATGATTCGAGCCAAAGACAGACGTTTAACCGACTGAGCCACCTAGGTGCCCTGAAATAGAATTATTATTGATTTAAAAAGTTTTAAAAGCTCATGATCTATATTAGTCAAATCAGCAAAAGGTCTTGGAAATGGGGCCAATTGACCCTAGAGATTAAAAGGTTAAATCTGTATAAGTAAAATTTTAACTTATTTTTATCCTAATGATAGATGTGTACTTTTAGTACTGATTTTGCATGTTTTTGTATAAATAAAAGATTCCACACCTATATTTCAGCTGATGTGACATATTTGAAATCACAGCCTGTCACTTGTTTTCCATAGAACCATATTTGGATTATTTATATACATTTGATTATAATGTATGTAATGATGAGGGAAGTAGATTACAACTACTTTTATGTTTATAACTCTTCTTTGGAAGACAAGGAGAGAGGATGAGAGTCATCTACCGTATTTTTAAATCACTTTATACATAACATTAACTTTAATAAAATAATAATATGTTGTGTTTATATAGCACATCATTATTTGCAAAGGAGTTTTATGGTGCAGGGCCCTGTAGGATAGGTAGAGGTGGTATTAAAATCCTCCATTTACAGATGAGGAATCTGTGTAAAAAGCAGATAATGCTGTGCTTAAAACCACAAAGGTGATACGTCAGAAAATGGAGACTAGAATCCAAATCTAATACCCCATTTGTTCCTTCCAAGACTTAACATTTGTCCCTTTACTGAGTATAGAATAGGAAAGATGGAAATTTTTTTCTTGAGTGGTGGGTTCTGACTCTTCTTTCTCTACTTACCCATTTAGTCGGAACCAACTGTCAACATTACCAGTGCACTTGTGTAATTTACCATTGAAAGTCTTAATTGCTAGTAATAACAAATTGGTGTCACTTCCAGAAGAAATTGGACATCTCAGACATTTAACAGAACTTGTAAGTTAATGTTTTACTTTTTTACTGTTCCCACATGTATGTATATCCATAGTCATACCATGCTCTGTTCTCTGGTAAAGACCCATTATTAAGGTGTGTTTTTTAGTTTTTTTTCAAGTATGAATAGTGAAGTTTTGCTGGTTGATCAGTACTGAAGTGCGTCAACACAGAGTTAAAGAACTGAAAGTACAAGTCTAATAGGCCCACATGGACTGGGAGGAGTCATTAGAATTAAATTTTAACCAATATTCAGTGATTTCTATGTTATTAAACTTGTGAGCTATAAGTTAATAACGCATTTCAGTTTTTCAGGTTAAATCTTAATAGCATCAGTGTTCTGATTTTTGGTTAGCCCCTATAGGGGAATGGGCACTGCAAAGATCAGGCTTATTTTTTTTTTTTTTTTTTTTTGCCTTACATGCTATCTCCAGCACCCCTCTCCCTCTCTAAAGTAAGCTATTCTTTACTGCCTTATGTTTTCTGAGAAGCATAACTACATTTACTACTCCTTGTTACTCTTTAGTGCTTATGTTCTGGGCATGGGAATGGGACTTTTCCCATTTAATCACCACAGTAACATTATGAATTAGGTATTATAATTATCATCATATTGCAGCTGAGGAAAGTGGCACTTAGGTTAAGTAATTTGCCCAAGGTTCCATAACTGAAGTAGAATTTGAAACCAATCTACCTCAACTTCAGAGCCCATGTTTTATATTTCTGAAATGGTCAAATACAATTATATCCATTGAGATTTGGGAGGATAGTTTCTTGTAGGTTTATTAACAAAGGTAGACATCATAAACAAAAAATACACATAAAATTTAACTGGACCACACATTAGCTCTCTCTTTTTTTTAGGTGGATTATGAAAATAAAAGGTCACATGTAAAAATACACAAATATATTAAATCTGGAGTCTAGATACTAAACTACTATTTATTTGGAGACAGATCAAGGAAATAAAGTCCAAAATATATGTTTGTTGGCATTTCTTCAGAACTTGGGTTATTAACATGAACTAACAGTAAATTTTACTTGTGATTCAGATTCTGATATTCAAATCATTTAAACTTTCTGTTTCTGCTTATTGAATCATAAATACCTAAAAGATAGATACATCTTGCAGAAGGAGCTTTTAACTTTCTACAAAAGAGGTAAATTGATACCCTCAGTCATACAAATAGTTTGTGTCGGAGTGAGAATTAATAATCCCAAAGCTCCTGATTCCCACTTGATGGAACATGTTCTTACAACATCCTATTGCTTTTTATCCTTTATTTCCTTTTTTATAAAGTTTATTTAAGTAGTTTCTACACCGAATGTGAGACTTGAACTAAAGACCCCAAGATCAAGAGTCACATGTTCCTCCAACTGAGCCAGCCAGGTGCCTCTATTTCTCTTCTTTTTTTTTTTTTTTTTCCCCTTAAAGATTTTATCCATTTGGGGCACCTGGGTGGCTCAGTCGTTTAGCGTCTGCCTTCGGCTCAGGTCATGATCTCAGGGTTCTGGGATCGAGCCCTGGATCGGGCTCCCTGCTCTGCGCGAAGCCTGCTTCTCCCTCTCCCACTGCCCCCCTGCTTGTGTTCCCTCTCTCGCTGTGTCTCTCTCTGTCAAATAAATAAATAAAATCTTTAAAATAAAAAAAAAGATTTTATCCATTTATTAGAGAGAGCATGAGTGGGGGAAGGGCAGAGGCAGAGGGACAAGCAGACTTCCCACTGAGCAGGGAGCCCCATGTGGGGCTCAATCCCAGGACCCTGAGATCATGACCTGAGCCGAAGGCAGACGCTTAGCCGATTGAGCCACCCAGGCACCCCTTCCCTTCGTTTTTAAGTGAGAGTAAACTTTTGTCTTTCAAGATATACATTTTCCGAGAGAAATATTATAAATGACTATTACCTTCTAGCTTAAGCTCAATTTTCCCTATCCTTTCAACTTCTTTTCCTTTTAACTTTGATGCCCAGACCACTGGACTAAGAAGTATAGCTACTGATTCTACTTCAGTCATTAATTGGTAGGAAAGGTAAAAATAATATTTTCTCTAAGAATATTATGGGAAAATGTAAAAATAATGTTTGAAGATTATTGAAGTTTATTAAAGATTATTGAAGTTTTTGGTAAGTGGTCTTTTCTAATAGTAAGTCTGTTACTAATGTCCTTTTACTCATATCCTAGAGGAGTTCTAAGTGTTAATGTGACATCGTGGAGCTTTTATTAACCTAGACAACTTCCTGCTGTTACACATGGATTTATACTTTTTTCTGGCTGGTCTCAGAATTATGGAATTCTGAATTTGTCAATCTTGGAATCTGTAGTTAGCCTCTTCTCAGAACGGGTGGAATCAAGCTGTTGACCAAGATACCAGAAGGCCTGCATAATACATGTACTGGTACCAGCTTGATCAGATGCCGAGAGAGCAGTATCTGTTTTTTCCATGGCCTATGTTATGTGTACTTTATTATTTTTTCCCTCACTTTCAGTTTGACAAAGAACTTTTTGAGTCATCTTTAATGCATTTTTTAATATTCTTGAGCAGGCGAGCTGGCATTTTGAAAATAGGATTTCCTTTCAATTAATTTTATCATTATAATTTTTATCATTGTTTTTTCTTTTAGTTTCATTAGAACACTTATAAAATAGATCAGTTTTTATACTTTTTTCTAATTTACCTTTTCACTAGAATTTTCATTTGATTTGATGCCAGGCTTTCTGTCCACATCTTGTCATTTAATTTTTGTTCTGCTCATAAAATTAGTGTAGATCCATATAAATTGTGTAAAATCAGTCAGAAACCTGTAAGTTTTTAGAATTAAATGCTAGTACAAACTATGGTATTATTCTTGGACACAGAATCATGATTTTTTTTTTTTTACAGTTAAGACAGACCATAGGTATTATCTTATTGAACCTCATTTTACACATGGTTTAAAGCAGACAAATTTGTAATATTAGAACAATTCTTTACTTTGTATCTTTTTGAGATAGGATGTGAGCTGCAATGAAATTCAAACAATACCTTCCCAAATTGGTAATTTGGAGGCCTTGAGAGACCTTAATGTAAGAAGAAACCACTTAGTACGTTTGCCTGAAGGTAAGAAACTGAAATAATTGTTTCATTATTACTTGTTTCTTTATTTTGAAGATCTCTCAGACTGATAGGTACAAGACAAAAATGTATAGAGTTACAGGCAATGTTTTGAGATATAGTGGTTCAGCTACTATATGTTGTTATCTGTTTCCTTGTGGATTTTAAAGTTAGATTCTTCAGTGAAAAACTCCAATAACGTATTAACCAGTGATTGTATTTTTATTTTTTTATTTATTTATTTTTTAAAAAGATTTTATTTATTTATTTATTTATTTGACAGAGAGACAGAGAGCACAGATAGGCAGAATGGCAGGCAGAGGGAGAAGCAGGTCCCTGCTGAGCAGGGATCCTGATGCGGGGCTCGATCCCAGGACCCCGGGATCACGACCTGAGCCGAAGGCAGACGCTTAACTGACTGAGCCACTCAGGCGCCCCGTGATTGTATTTTTAGATCTTGTCAGAATTAATTAATAACTCAAGGTAGGGTCCCTGGAAGTTTCAGTAAGTGTGAGTACTTGGGAGAAATAGATCATGTTTTTTTAAAAAAAAAAAAAAATAGATCATGTTTTTGATGAGGAAATAGTTTAGTGTAATGAAAAACATTCCTGCAATTTGCATTGACTTAAATGGACTTGACTTGAACTTACTTAATCTTTCCCTGGAAATGTTCAGATAGAGGCTAATTAATGGTTAGAGGTGATGTGTAGAATGAATAATGAATGGAGTGAGAGACTGCACTGGGAGGCTTGTTATCTTAGGCTCACTATAGGCTCTGGTATATGTATCTAAATCACAAAAATGATTAAGCAAATTAAGTATAATTTATCAACCCTTCAAAATATGAATTCATGAAAGAAGCTGTAAAAGAAATGAAAATGAGGAGAACTTAGATCAGAGTATATCTTTAATTTTATTATGGAAAATTTCATATATAAATGAGAGCAATGAATATCCAGCTATAGTAGTTAACAGTTCCTGGCAACTCCTGTGTCATCTGTACTCCTATCCACTTTCCCTTACCTCTGTCCTTTAGAAGGTATTTTCATGACCGTGATGCTCTAGGTTCTTCTATAAAACATGACTTATAATATATAGTGAATATTGAATTAACTAATGAAGCTTTTGCTTCACTGTGGAATCAAACGTTAACACCAGTATGATTTTTAATTCTAACACATACAAGTGTGACTTTGACATTTTGTATGTCAAAATGTCTCAATAAGTGACCTTTTAGTCCACTTTTATATACTTAGTGCAGTCAGACTAGCCAAAATCCTGCATAACTTTCCTTTCAGTCGCTTACCCAGTAACCTTTACACCTTTTACTTTTAGAGCCCTTCCTCATTTCCTCCTGGGTCTGCTTTCTACCCCCTCAGGAATGTGAATGAAGGCCCCCAGCAGAACTGACCAAAATCATGGCATAGGCCTTATAACCCAAAAATTCTATCCAAGATTACCCTTCTACTCAGGACCTACCTACTGAGATTGATCTTTAAAGGCTTATTAATGTAGAAATACGGACTTAATATAAAATCAGTTAATGAAAACATTGGGATTTTAGTGAAAATGAAAATTCAGGGTTTTAGATGACAATTACAGTCTAATAATTTTATCATCTAATTGATTTCTCTATTATTTATTTATTTGACAGAGAGAGAGAGATAGCGAGAGCAGGAACACAAGCAGGGGGAGTGGGAGAGGGAGAAGCAGGCTCCCCGTGGAGGAGGGAGCCCGATGCGGGACTCGATCCCAGGACCCTGGGATCACGACCTGAGCCGAAGGCAGACGCTTAACGACTGAGCCACCCAGGCGCCCCTCTTACTGCCATTTTGATTTTAAATTTTAATTGTTATAAAGTAATATATTGCTCAGAAAGTCGAGTAATATAAAAATATATTAGTATGAAGTAGTTTAAAAATATATCGTTCAGAAAGTCAAGTAGAAAAAGCTCAAAATCAATAATAGCATTCCCCTGCCTCAACCATCTCCCCCCCCGTTATTTTTTTTTAAGATTTATTTATTCATTAGAGAGAGAGTGTGCGTACACATGCGCATGGGGGAGGGGAAGAGAGAGAGGGAATCTCAAGCAGACTCCCTCCCTCTGAGTGCGGAGGCGGCACGGGACTCAATCTCATGACCATGAGATCATGACCTGAGCTGAAATCAAGGTTGGACCCTTAACCAACTAAGCCACCCAGGCACCCCTCCGCCTCCCCAGTTTTAATGTCTAGAAGCATCTACCTTCTCCATCTTTAATTCTTTTCACTGGCATTTGCTGACATACTTCTAAATGACATGCTTTAACAGCTTTGCTGGATTTACCAGTCTTGACACTTATGTCAGCTTCCTGTTATGGTAGATGACTATTTATATATATTAAATATTTTTAATTTTTAAGATTTTATTTATTTATTTGAGAGAGAGAGAGAGAGAGAGAGAAAGCACATGAGGGGGGGGAGGGTCAGAGGCAGAAGCAGACTCCCTGCTGAGCAGGGAGCCCGATGCGGGACTCGATCCAGGGATTCCAGGATCATGACCTGAGCCGAAGGCAGTCGCTTAATCAACTGAGCTACCCAGGCGCCCTTAAATGGTTTCCTATCAGCTTATCTTGTAAATCTCAGCATATACAGCTAAACTGAGAGCTAAACTGGAGGAAAGCTTTATTCTGATAGCTACATAAGTTAGTGTGGAAGTTCATATGGTCTCTAACATATTCCAATTTGGTAGATAAGATAGTATGTCTCTTACTGCCATTTTTTTTTTTTTTTAAGATTTTATTTATTTATTAGAGAGATTGAGCGCTCACAGAAGTAGGCAGGGCGGCAGGCAGAGGGAGAGGGAGAAGCAGGCTCCTCGCTGAGCAGAGAGCCCGATGCAGGGCTCAGTCCCAGGACCCTGGGGTCATGACCTGAGCCAAAGGCAGATAGATGCTTAACCTACTGAGCCACCCAGGTGACCTGGCAGATGACGATTTAACTTTCTTACACACTATCACAATCATACCTTTACTTCCCTCCTGCTATCTTCCTAGTGTAATTTTTTTTTTTTAAGATTTTATTTATTTGATAGAGACACAGCGAGAGAGGGAACACAAGCAGGAGTAGTGGGAGAGGGAGAAGCAGGCTTCCAACCGATCAGGGAGCCTGATGTGGGGCTCGAACCCAGGACCCTGGGATCATGACCTGAGCCAAAGGCAGACGCTTAACAACTGAGCCACCCTGGCGCCCCTTTCCAGTGTAGTTTTATCACAACTTTTGATCCAAGTGTTATTGTTTATGTTATTACAACTATATAAATATTGTTCCCTGCCAATTCAGTTGATGTACTCTGATTTTATTTCTTTTTTATACATCTTATTTTTGTTGTTGTTTTTGTCTTTTTTATTTGCTTAGTTTTTTATGTACATATGGCTAATTCCTCCCTCTTTTTCTAGCAGAGAGACAAACCACATTCACATAATTTTTATTACACTATTATATTTGTTCTATTTTATTATTAGTTTTTGTTGTTAATTTAATTTAATTTTATTAGTTAATTTCTTACTGTGCCTAATTTATAAATTAAACTTTATCATATGTATACAGGTATGTACGTATAGGAAAAATCACAGTATATGTATATGGGTATGTATGTATAGGAAAAATCACAGAATATATAGGGTTTGGTACTCTCTGAAGTTTCTGCATCCCCTGGGAGTTTTGAAACATATCCCCCATGAATAAGAGGGAACTCACTACTCTACTGGCATTCAAGAGCTGGGGATGGGGTGGGGTTGGGTAGGAACATGCTGAGGTCTCGTCACTGTGTAGACTTCCTTTTAAATCCTCCATTTTCAACTGGCAACTCATCCTGACTTTCCATTGTGCCTAAGATTCCTGAATTCAAAGCCTTTGATTCGGTTTCACGAGAGAATAACTTATTGACCCCGGTGATGATTGATTGGAGAGGGGTAGGGCTGCATGAGGTTGGGGACTTAGGCATTTAACTTGTTCTTTGTACAGACGATCATCTAATCCTTTGGTTATGCCTACGTTTCTGTGGTATCAGGCCTCCGGTTTCTGTAGTTCTGTGAGGGGTCAGACTGCTTGCTTTTCACTAGTATTCCCATCTGTAAGCAACTAGATTTCATTTTATAATATCAGTTCATCTTTAAGAAAGGAGATAAATACATTAAATTCGCTATATTTAACTAGAAGCTCCTGTAAAAATGGTCTAGTTTTGAAATATCATTGATTGTGCATTTCCATTTTATCACCCTGCAGAGCTGGCAGAGCTGCCTTTGATACGGTTAGACTTCTCCTGCAATAAAATTACAACAATCCCTATTTGTTATCGGAACCTCAGGCACCTACAGATGATCACCCTAGATAACAATCCACTACAGTCTCCTCCTGCACAGGTAAACTCTAGTGGATTTGAAGTATATTGGGAACTTTTTTGACAGAGGGTGAATTTAAAAATTGAAGTTCTATACATTTATCTTTTTGTTGGAAATGAAGTTCTTTTACAGTAAATTCACACACATATGCATTCTTTAGAAGCCCTGAATAAATGGGATGAAGGGCAGATAATATTTCCAGAAGTGCTTTTCCTTTCACTAAATTCTTACTTTTTGAGTTGAGGGGTTCTTCTCAAAGTTTTTCTAATACAATTTGAGTTAATTTCTTTCTAGTAAAACTTGAAAGTAGGCAATGTAAACACGAGAGACAAAAATACTTGGCTTTCAGCATTAAAGATTATCAGTGCATTTCTTCTGACCATGATTTTTGTACCTTTTTATTTAATAAAATCTTAAGTTCCTTATTTAGTCAGTTTGATCATTTGTTTATCAGTGACTGATATGAAACTATTTAATAATAAAGTAATTTTAAGGTAACTTTACATATAGATTCTAGCCATCCCATAATCTGAAAAATTCTACCAGCCTATATTTTTCTTTTTTTTAATTTCACTTAATTTAATTTTTTTTATTATGTCAGTTAGCCAACATATAGTACATCATTAGTTTTTGATGCAGTGTTCAACGATTCATTAGTTGCATATAATACCTAGTGCTCATCACAACACATGCCAGCCCATATTTTTCACTGTAGCATTTGAACTCTACAGTTGATGATGGTCTTATTCAAGCTTCTGGATGGCAACTATAAAGCTTTATGAGTAAACTTCATAACTATAGAAGGATCTCATAATCTTAAAGAATTTATATTTTGACTTCTGTCAACAGAAATGTAACTTTAATGTTTAATCATTTCTTGCTTTTCTCTCTTACAGAAAGTAGGATTCAAAACATAATTGTGCATGATTGTTGGATTTCTAAAAGCAAAGTTGCCAGTGAAATCTGTGGGGAACAATGCTTTAAATCCCTGACTATGCCTAACTAATCAGTTTGATAAGTTTATTTGGTATTCTATCAGTGTTTATAATCATAAATTATTTATTTTATATGTTACTGAAATTTATTCTTGACTAAAAAACAAAAATCTGTATTTATATCACTTAAACACATAAAATAACATGTTATAATGAGTATTTGATTTTTACTATCACTGTATGTAGTTAATAGAAATGCCTTGCTTCTAATATATATAATAAGTAAAAAGCTGATTGTGATTGTTAACAAGGGACACATATATTTCAAATGAGTAATAATTTGATTGCATTTATATGTTACTTTTTTAGATATGTATAAAAGGCAAAATCCACATATTTAAGTACCTGAACATACAGGCTTGTAAGATTGCTCCAGATCTGCCAGATTATGATAGGAGACCGTTGGGTTTTGGCTCCTGGTGAGTATATTTTATTTTTTTATTTAATATATTCCATCTCATAGGGAATCAAACTGGACCCTTAAATCTGTCTGAATGTTTAACTAAAGGGAAATAACCTATTTTGACACTTTTTCTCAGAATGTTTGTATTAAGTAAACAGTCGATTACAGAGATCTGACAAAGTGTAGTCCTAAATTAAGGTTTCTCCACCTCAGGGCTGTTGATATTTTGGGCAAGATAACTCTTTGTTGTGGGAAGTTGTCTTATACATCAGAAGATGTTTATCAGTATTCCTGGCTTCTGTAGCACCTTCCCAGTGTGACAAACAAAAACAGCTCCAGACATTGCTAAATAGCCCCTGAGGGGTGCCTACTTGAAAACCACTGGTCTCAGTGACTTGAATGCTAACCTTGGCTCTGCTGTTAATTCTGTGACTTAAAGCAAGTCATTCAAACATTTGGGGGTTGATTTTTTCTTTAGGGAGTGAAGAGGATGGATTTGATGACCATTAATGTCACTTCAGGATCTTTTAGTTTATGAATCCTTCAACTACATAACACCTGAATGACAAGGTTACCTCCTTGGCATTCCCAATCATCTGGAACAATCTTAAGTAGCAGTAATTAAATTCAAAAGGCCTCTTAACTGGCAAAATAGATGTCTCAGTGAAGGTGCTATAAAGCATATAGGCCTTATTCAAAAGAGAACCCCTCTGGCCTTCTCTTAGAACTTGTCACATTTTACATTAAAGCACAGTCCTAATGAGCTTGCTTCTCAGTATCCTAGTCTAAAACAGATTAACAAATTTCTATTTTGGTAGAGTTTCTAAAAGCAGACATTAAAAATACAAAAAGTTATTTGAAAGAAAAAATAAAACTATAAAAAGCAGACACATATTAAAAAAATCAGTTAGTGGTTAACTCTGAGAGGAAGGAAGATTCAATGTGAAAGACGCATAGGGCACTTTAGTTATTAATGTCTCGGGGCACCAGGGTGGCTCAGTTGTTAAGCGTCTGCGACAGCCCTACATCGGGCTCCCTGCTCCGCGGGAAGCCTGCTTCTCCCTCTCCCACTCCCCCTGTTTGTGTTCCCTCTCTCACTGTCTCTCTCCGTCAAATAAATAAATAAAATATTTAAAAATAATAATAAACAAAGGTATTAATGTCTCATCATGTTTTAAAAGCTATGTCTGTTATATTCATTTTTTATCTGTATGACATATTTCATAATTTCACAAGATATTGAAAAGCAGTAACACTCTAAAAACATAGTGCCTTGATGCCATTAGGCATATATGCAAAGAACCCTCCATATTTCAGTAATTAAATTATTGCCATGTTAGAGCACAGTACAATAATTGATGCTCATCAAGAAAATGCTAAGGTATATTAGAGATATCATTTCCAGTAAAGGGAAATGTGCATTAAGTTTAAATTTTAAATACAGTTTAAATTTTTTTCATCAGAAATTATTAGAATTAAATATTTAAGTGTTTATGGTATAAAGGAGTAATCTCAAGCTATCTGAAAATACAGAACCTGATTTTTTTTTTAAGATTTTATTTATTAGAGAAAGTGAGTGAGAGAGCGAGCACAAGCTGGGGGCGGGACAGAGGAAAAAGCAGATTCCCTCCTGAGCAGGGAGCCCAATGCGGGGATCCATCCCAGGACTCCAGGATCATGACCTGAGCCAAAGGCAGATGCTTAACTGACTGAGCCACCCAAGTGCCCCCAGAACCTGATTTCTTAAGTAAATTAAGTATTATTCCAAAGGGACTTGACTTCTGCCCTTTGCCACAGACCATGTCTTTCTTCTTCACCACTGTATCCCTAGTTCAGCTGGGTGTTTGGCACACATAGTAGATACTCAACAAGTATTTATTAAAGTAATGAACAGTTTGGTCACACAAATGTTATTTCCCTCCTAACTTTTCTGTGCTTAAAGTCATCAGAACAACTTTATAATGACATTCTGGGGTTTTTTTGGTCTAGCTATTAGATTGAAGAGTTTCATACACACTATGAAGGGTATTTAAAATACTAGCTCTAATCTGGTGGTTTCAGCATACAATAATACAAGTTTTAGTATATTTATACAAATACACAAGGAGAAATTAACCAATGTCCTACATACCCATAAAAGATTCCTACAAGAACATCTTGGTCCTAATACTTTTAACTCTGAGAAGACTGAAAGCAGACATGTGATGTTAAGGTTAAGACATAAAAGGTTTTGAAAGATGGTAGGGATTAGGTCTGGCATGCTCTGTGCTAGATTTAGGCCTCTCTTGGAGAAAGGACTTTGACAGTGGGGAGAATATGAAGGGACCCAGACCATTATTGCCAAGAATGTTTAAATTTCCTCTATTCATTGTATCCTTATCTTTCTTCAAGTCTTTTTCCTCTTACCTTGGTAAATTGCTTATAATAGAGAACTCTTGTCTTATTTATTGAAAAAAGTTTTGTTTTTCCTATTCAAAATTTTCATTAAGTATGTTCTAGTCCTGTACTCTTGAAAGATGTACTACAACAAATAAATGTAGGGGTGCCTGGGCGGTTTGGTCGGTTAAGTGTCTGCCTTCAGCTCAGGTCATGATCCCAGGGTCCTGGGATCGAGCCCCGCATCGGGCTCCCTGCTCAGTGGGGAGCCTGCTTCTCCCTCTCTCACTCCCCCTGCTTGTACTGTCCTCTCTCTTTCTCTCTCTGTCAGATAAATAAATAAAATCTTAAAAAGTAAATAAAAAAATGTAGCTTTTAGGGGCGCCTGGGTGGCTCAGTTGGTTAAGCGACTGCCTTCGGCTCACGTCATGATCCTGGAGTCCCGGGATCGAGTCCCACATCGGGCTTCCTGCTCAGCAGAGAGTCTGCTTCTCCCTCTGACCCTCTTTCCCTCTCGTGCTTTCTATCTCTCATTCTCTCTCTCTCTCTCAAATAAATAAATAAAATCTTTAAAAAAAAAATGTAGCTTTTATTTTACATTGCTGCCTTTGGGGTTTGAGTGTCAGGCAGTTAGTGATGAGTACTGGGGACGTGTATGTGAGGGTAGGTCCAAAGACTAAGGAGGAATCACCAGCCCCTATAGGAATAATGAGCTTTGATTAAAGCCTGTGGTGCTGATTGCAGAACCTGTTTTTTCTGTCATTCTGTCCTTAGTCTTGAGGACTAATTAGTCTTGGCCTAATTTTTTTTAATATAGAAATCCTCATCATAATACTTTAAAAACATAAAACTTCTCAAAAAAGCCTGGCAAGAGACATGTGTGTATTTCCTAAGACAAAAAGAAGGCTTGAATCCATGGAGAAATATACCCTAAATGGAAAGTCTAAATAGCATAAACATGTTGTGTCTCTCCAAAGGAATTAGTAATTATAGATCTGATGTCTTCCAGTCCCTATAATAATCCCTCACCATGCTCACTAGATTAATCTGTATTCTGTATTTTCCATTTTTTCTGGAGTTATATTACATTATTTGTAATTATTTCAGAATGTCCTAGATAATATTTTTATATGTAATATAAATAAAATACTTCCTTCAACTCCTCATGCAGTGGTGAATGGGGTATTGTATCTTCATGTCTTTTTTTACTGAGGTATGAATTAGTGAAATTGCACTGTTGTTGGCAGTACCTTTATTCAAAATGCCACCATGGAGTGAGAGTGTATGTACTATCGGGCAGTTCACTTAACCTCTCTGGACTTCAGTTTCTTCAACATGATCTTTATTTACCCCAGGTTTGCCCTAACAGTAGTTCTAAGGATTGAATGACCTGGTTCTGAAAGTGCTTGGCTGACCATAAAGTCCTATGTAAATATTAGACATTATAGTTACTAGCTATCTACGGTGATCTAGGACCAGTTTAGACCTAAGAGTCCTGTCTTGCTAAAGAAAATTTTTATTAATCCTGTAGCTCTTCAGGTATCCAGTACAGATTAGGTGCTGTGGTACTTTCCTTCAATCCTTACATGTAACTTTCCAACTATTTTTGCATAATATATAAACTACAACCAATCTTCCTTAAGTCATTTTATAAAGATCACAAATGTTTTATTTATTTCTAGATGTAAATGTTTCCAGTTCCTTTAGCAAGTTGCATTGTTGTGATAACTTTTAAGTTTTGTACAATGGCACGTGTATTTTTCAGTAGTGATCTATAATGACCTGTGCTTCTTTGCTGACCAGCTGTATATTACAGACTAAATATGTTTATGTATGGTAATGTGGCAGTGAACCAAAACTGAGGAAAGACTAAGCCACTGGTAAGAAAAGTCCTGCTTCTGCAACCCGAGTAACGGAATTAATTCTCTCCAACAAGCCTGAGCTTGTGAAAGCAATGATCATCCTTTATTGATATTTGTATTCTTAGTATCTAGAACACTGTGTGACAGTCAATAAATGTTTGGTGAACTAAACCCAAATGAAGTAGATGTAGTGACTTGTGATAACAGCAGATGCTCTCTTAAGAGTACATTCTTCATAGAAATAATAATAATAATAACTTTTATTTAGTCCTTTGTAATAATATTTGTGCAATTCCTTAGCCTATGTTTTTCGATCTTTATAGCAAATCTGTGAGGTAGGTGTTGTTAATCTTTTTTTTTCTTTAACTTACGAGGAAGCAAGTTGAGAGAAGTTAAGCAAGTTAATTGAAGTCACACAGCTAGTAAATGATGGTGCCATGTTGTCAGTCCACATCTGTTAAACTATAAAAATAGCCATGTTTTATGCTCCTCACTGCACTCTACTGACTCACAGTTCAAGTTCCTGCTACAGAAAAGGCACTTAAACATCTGAGTCCGTGTTATGCTAGGTAGTTTAAGGAGATTGGACTTTCTGACAGGGCATAGCTGGAGCCTGGCTGGCAGAACTCTGCCAGGCCTCCTGAGGGCCATATTTATTCATTGGGTAACCCATTTGTCCTGGTTTGCTTGTGACTAAGGGTTTTCCTGGGACACAGGACTTTAAGTTCTAAAACCAAAAAAAAATCCTGAGCGAACCCAGGAGTTGGTAAACCTGTATGCCTCAGTTTAATGTTACCAGTTTAAACTCTGAACGAGAGTGAGTATGTGGAGAAGCTAAAGGTAACAAAGGAGATAAATAGCTTAATGCAGAGATTCTATTAATTCTGTTTATGTTACCCACTTGAAAAATATCACAGTAAATTTAGGCTTATCTCAATTGGCCACTTGATAGAATAAACGTTATATAGAACAATATCCTCTAGAAATCGGAAAATCTTTACTTGAAAGATGCATAATATTTTAAAATATTTTTCAGTAAATCTTGAAATATACATCTTTTGGCAGCTGCAGAATTTTGTAAGTGTGGCTTAATGTATAATTTTATTAGAAAGCTTTTAAAATTGGGTACCTCAGCCTGACTTTGCGGTGATAAAACATATATAGTACCTATCTGTAAGTTCTGGACCCTAAAACAAGCATAAAAGCAGACCTATCACATAGACGATTAAATAAGACATTCTACTTAAATAACTAACAGTTTGGAGATATAGATGAAGAGTAAATGGATATTCATTGTATTACTCTCCTAACTTTTGTATAGATAGGAATTTTTCCAAAGTAAAAAGTTGGTAGAGATTAACTACTTTTCCCTTAGAAAAGTAAATTTTTTTTAGTTTATGTATTTGTTTATTTATTTATTTTTAAGTAATCTCAACATCCAGCATGGGGCTTGAACTCATGGCCCCAAGATCAGGAGTCACATGCTCTTCCAATTGAGCCAGCCGGGCACTGCTAGAAAAGTAATTTTAGAATTTGGCTGGGAGACTTTTTTTTGCTAAATGATCTTGATGGGGGAGGTGGGGAAACAAGGAAGCTAGCCAGAAGGCACTGGTATTTTTGGATCTTCATAATCAGACCATATTTAGTACATTGGACAAACAGATCTATGTATTAATTACTACATTCAAAGTAAAATCTTTATCAATAAAATAAATGATGTTACAAAGACTTTCTTTTATTCACATAGGGTTTTTTGTTTGTTTTGTTTTTAAAGATTTTATTTATTTATTTGACGGAGAGATAGAGAGAGCCAGAGCACACAAGCAGGGGGAGTGGCCGAGGGAGAGGGAGAAGCAGGCTCCCCACTGAGTAGGGCCCGAAGTGGGGCTCGATCCCAGGACCCTGGGATCACGACCTGAGCCGAAGGCAAATGGCTTAACCAACTGAGCCACCCAGGCGCCCTGATTTGTTTTGTTTTTAACTGACATAAATCTTTCACTTTATATAAAGGCATATGAGTAGGAATGGTTAACCTTATTTTATGGAAATTAAAGTTATGTGCATTAACTATGTAAGAATATATGGAATACAAAATTCAGTACTAGAAAAGCACTATTTTAAATTTGTACCATTGAAAGTTGCTTTTCAACCCCATGCTTATTAAATAAAATACTAATAGACCATTTTTTAAAAATAAGCCTTGTCATGTTTTAGGTATCTAATTAAGCTAACTTTTATTTTTTTATTTTTTTTAAAGATTTTTTATTTATTTATTTGACAGAGGCACAGTGAGAGAGGGAACACAAGCAGGGGGAGTGGGAGAGGGAGAAGCAGGCTTCCCGCCGAGCAGGGAGCCCGATGTGGGGCTCGATCCCAGGACCCTGGGATCATGACCTGAGCTGAAGGCAGACACTTAGTGACTGAGCCACCCAGGCATCCTAATTGTATTACTTTTTTATTGCTGCCGTAACAAATTACCACAGACTTAGATTTTTAAACACAAATTTGTTATCTTATACTTTTGTAGGTCAGAAGTCCAAGTCTTGGTCTCATTGGGCTAAAATCAGGATGCTGGCAGAGCTTTGTTCTTTTCTGTAGGCTCTGAGTAGGATACATTTCCTTGCCTTTTCCAACTTCTAGAGAGAAACTGTCCACATTCCTTGACTCTTAACCAAAAGTCGTCTTCAAGCAGCGTTGCATCACACTGACCTCTTCTGCCTCCCTCTTCCACTGTTAAGGGCCCTTTTGATTACATTGTGTCCATTCAGATAATTTACATTAATTTTGGATCAGCTGACTAGCAACCTTATTTTTACTTCCAACCTTAATTCCCCTTTGCCATGTAAAGAAACATTTATAGATTCCAGGGATTAGATCTTAAACATCTTTGGGGACTGTTATTCTGCCTTTCATACTAATTTAAGGTGAAAAAATCAGAATAGTGGTTCTCTCTTAAGAGCACACTGTAACATGGTGAGGGGAATTGCCTGGGAAAGGGTTGTGTGGGAATTTTCAGGCAAAGTAGAAATGTCCTACATCATGAGAGAGGTGTATATTATAAAGATGGATTCATTTGTCAAGTATATAGCTAAGGTGTATGCATTTCACTATCGGGGGGGCGCCTGGGTGGCTCAGTCATCAAGCGTCTGCCTTCTGCGTTCGGCTTAGGTCATGATCCCGGGGTCCTGGGATTAAGCCCCACATCGGGCTCCCTGCTCCGTGGGAAGCCTGCTTCTCCCTCTCCCACTCCCCCTGCTTGTGTTCCTTCTCTCGCTGTCTCTCTCTCTCTGTCAAATAAATAAATAAAATCTCTAAAAACAAATTACTATTGGGGGTGCCTGGGTGGTTCAGTCAGTTAAGCATCTGACTCTTGATTTCAGCTCAGGTCATGATCTCAGGGTCATGAGATTGAGCCCTGTGTCGGGTTCTATGCTGGGTGTGGAGCCTGCTTAAGATTCTCTCTCTCCCTCCCCTCTCCCCCTCCCCACTCACTCTCTCTTAAAAAAAAAAAAAAAAAGAATTGAGGGGGGCACCTGGGTGGTCAGTCAGTTAAGGGTCAGACTCTTGATTTCAGCTCAGGTCTCTATCTCAAGGCAGTGAGTTCAAGCCCTGTGTTGGGGGGCATGGGAAATGGGTTAGAAGCATAGATGAAACAAGAATGGCAGTGTTGACATTTTTGAAACTGGGTGAGTGCTATTATATTAGTATACTAGTATACATTATACTGTTTATTTTAGTTCGGACTTTTTCATATTAAAAAGTCAAAAGAATGCCCATTTAATTCTAAATAAGTTAAATCACTAAATGCCATGATAATGTTTATTAGTAAAATTGCATTTAATTTATTTCAAATGTTAATTTTTAAAACCTCAAACTACCCAGTAACAACTAGAGTCTCTCTTTGGCAGCCATGAAGAACTGTACTCAGGTCGCCCTTATGGAGCTCTTGATTCAGGTTTCAATAGTGTGGACAGTGGTGATAAGAGATGGTCAGGGAATGAAGTAAGTGTTTCTTCTATTCTGCATGTTGTAACACCTGATTAAGAGACAATAAAATGATGAAAACAGAAAGTATCTTAATTGGATTTAATTTCTCATTACATAAAATATGGAAAAGTCAAGGAAGAGGTAAAAATCCCACAGAGTACTGCCATCCAGAAATGATATTCTGTTTCTTTGCCATCTTTTTATCATGTGTTTTACATGTTTGTTACCTTATTGTCTTGTATGAATAGTTTAATATCCTAGAAAGCCAAATGGGAACTGAGCCGATTACAACTGAAGCCTAAAGTTTGCAGGGTGTTGCGGAAGGGGTGCTACGAGATGAGAAAATAGGACTATAGGTTATAGGGTAATAAGACAGGAACCTTAGTGAAGACTATTAACATGCTCAAGATAAATAATTTTCTTAACTAATTACATATTTTCCTCTTGTATTTATTATTATGCTTTCTGTCTTAAAAGTTAGAAGGTAGAATATTTTAGCTCTCAATGGGTTAATTGATGAAATAAGCTGTTATTAGCAAGACTGATAACCTCCTTTTTCTAGCATTACTTCATTCATTCCAAAGCAAATTAACTTTAGACCACCGTTCCTTTGAAATTTGGAAAGCTTGTGTATGTATCAAGGGGTGTGTACATAATCATATCTGTATCCATGCAGATACATATATGTAGATACTTTAAATTCCTGTTTATTTATGGAGTGATGTATAACCTTCCATCGCTTTTTTTATTATAGTAAAATAAATATACATAACATAAAATGTACCATTTTAACCATTCTTAAGTGTACATTTCAGTGACATTAAGTACATTCAGATTGTTGAGAAACTGTCACTACTGTTCATCTCCAGACCTTTTTCCTATTTCTTCTTAAATGTAAATTTTAGTGAGTTTATATTATATCCTTGCTTTCAATACTATGTTGTCTAAAGTTTGAAATTATATTTTTAAATGTTACTGCTATTTTTTTTTAAGCCTACAGATGAATTTTCAGATCTGCCTCTTCGAGTAGCAGAAATCACTAAGGAACAAAGACTGCGAAGAGAAAGCCAGTACCAGGAGACTCGCAGCAGTTTAGTAGTAACAAATGGTGGAGGTGAGTGGGACTCCCAACCACAGCCAGAGTCTTTACAGTCACTCTGGTGTGGGTTTTTTTTTT